CAGAAAAGATTTTTTAACTACTTGTTATGGAAAATTTAAAACATGTTCAAAATTAGAAAGAATCATCTAATAAACACTTTTGTGCCTATATCCCAGATTCAACAATTATCAACATTTTGCCACTTTTGTGTAATCCATTCCCACATATGCAGATACTTATACACTTGTTTTAATATTTTATTTTATTTTTTACTGGAGTGTTTTAGCGCAGATACAAAGTATATATCACATCTTTTCATCTGTAAACACTTCAGTATGTATCTCTAACTGGTGACAACTGTTAAGCACCATGCCATTATCACAACCGGTAAAATTAACAAGAACATTTTAATATCTTCTAATACCCATTCTGTGTTTAAATTCTCCACTTGTCCCAAAAGTGCTTTTCACAGTTGGTTTGTGGGAATCAGGATCTAAACAAGTCAACACATTGCTTTGGTCATTATTCCTCTTAAGACTATTTTATTACAAGTGGCCCTCCCTTGATTGCTTTCCCCTTGCTATTGATTTGTCAGAGAAAACTGATAATTCTCTGGAAAGACCCATATTCTGGCTTTGGCTTTCTCAAGTTGTTGATTAATTTCTTCATAACTTGTGAATTGGCAATCAGACCTGGAAGTTTGATTAGATTCAGGTTAAATATATTTTAGGCAAGTATCCTCCGTCAGTGTATTCATGATGAATAAAATGTCTGGTTTTCCTTCTTTCAGTGACTCAGATTGATGAGTGTGTTCAAGTGGTGGCAGCTGACGCCACCATTGTGAGGTTTCCCTCAACTTTCCACCTAAGTTTTTAATACCACTGAGGACTGTTGCCTAGATCCATGACTTCATTAGAGGTTGAAAAATGATGATTTTCCTACTTCTATCATTCCTTCTGCATCTATCAGCTGCAAGTCTTCCAAAAATCTTTCCCTCATCTACTCTTTAATCACCCTGAAACTATAGTTTATACAGGAAAGACAGGATAGATGCTTGATTCTTTCCCTTTGTTAATTTTCAGGATAGTGAGTTGTATGGCCGTCTTTCTCTTAGCATAATCCTTTTGAGATTAATCCACGTTGTTTCATGCATTGGTGGTTCTTTTTATTGCTGAGTAGTTTTCTACTATATGAATGTACCACATTTTATTTATTAATCTACAATTTTATTGGACAGTTTATCCTTGCATGAGTAGATCATTACTCAACCAAAGACTCAAAGAGACCCCTCTGCAGATCTCTGGAACCTGCTCCCCTCATCCCTCTCTCTCTACATTTAACTCCTATCTGGTACTCTGTTCTGCGAATTCCAGCCACCTTGGCCTGCTCAAACTCCATTCTCTGTGTGCTCAACTCAGAGACAGTTGAGTTCTGTTTTGGTTCCCCCTTCCTGCACTGCAGCCTGAAAACTGCTTCCAGATACTAATTTGGGGGCAATCATAGACCTCATCCTGTTCGTTTCTTATCTCAAAGAGATCACAAACTTGCCTTGCCTGTCTTCCAACGTCTAAAAACAGTTGTTTTATATATTTTGTTTAGTTTTCTAGTTTTGATTTTTTTTTTTTTGGTGAGGAAGGTTGGCCCTGAGCTAACATCTGTTGCCAATCTTCCTCTTTTTGCTTGAGGGATACTGGCCCTGTGCTAACATCTGTGCCAATCTTCCTCTACTTTGTACATGGGATGCCACCACAGCATGGCTTGATGAGTGGTGTGTAAGTTCGCGCCCAGGATCTGAACCTGTGAACCCCGGGGGCACCGAAATGGAGCACACAAACTTAACCACTACACCAGCGGGCCAGCCCTTAGTGGTTGCTTTAGAGTTTAGAGAATATAGTTTTAACATATTGCAGTCCTCTTCAACTGATTTTATACCGCTGCACATATAGTATAAGAACCTTATAACAGTATACTTCCATTTCTTCCCACTTGGCCTTTGTACTATTGTTGCCATGCTTCTACTTCCCTATGTGCTATAAATCTCACACTACTTTATTACCTTTTGCTTTGAACAGTCAATTATATTTTAAAGAGATTGAAATAATAAGAGAAACCATCTTTATACCTACTTATGTAGTTACTATTTCCGGGGCTCTTCATTTCTTTGTGTAGATCTGGATTTCCATCTGTTTCCTGCTGCTTTCCATCCATTCCTTCTGCTTTAACATTTCTTGAACTATTGATGGAGAATTATTGATGCTTCTGTATGACTGAAAAATTCTTCAATTGGCCTTTGTTTTTGAAAGATATTTTTGTGGGGTGTAGAATTCTAGGTTAATTCTTTTTTTCTTTAGAACTTTAAAAATCTTGTTCCACTACCTTCTGGCATGCATTGCTTCTGACAGGGAGTTTGCTCTAATTCTTATCTGTGTTCCTCTATTTGTAACGTGTCTTTTTTCTCTCTGGTTGTTTTTAAGATTATTTCTTTATTACTTTTTTTTATCAATTTTATTTTATATACCTCGGAGTAGTTTTATTCATGTTTCTTTTGCTTGGAATTCTTTGAGCTTCTTGGATCTGATTCTCTGCCCTGCTACTGCTAGCTGTCTTGGCCTTTCTGGACTTCTAGCTCTGTCTCCTCAAGTCAGGGAATCCACTGCCTGGCTGCCTCCTCCCTGTGATGTGGCCTGGAAACTCTTTCCAGGCAGTATGTTGTGGCAATGATAGGGCTCCCCTGGTTTGTTTCCACTCTCTCAGGGACCACCATCCTATCTGCCTGATGTCCAATGTCAAAAAAAAAGAACACTATTTCATACATTTTGCCTGATTTTTCAAATTATTTGATACAGAAGAGTAAATCTAGTTCCTATTGCTCCATATTTGCTAGAAACCAGGAAGTAACTTTTATTGAACATCTACAATGCACCAAACACTTTACATTGGTTCTTTCATTCAGTTCTATCAGAAGTCCTATATGAAGATACTATTAACCCTTTTTACAGATGAGGAAGCTAGAGGACATGACATGATTAATGAATAAAGTTGTACATCCTATTAAATGACAAAATAATTATTTGATCTCAGATGTGTTTGACTACAAAAGGATGCCACTTCCTTATAAAACAGAGAGATAGAAAAGTATATGAACGTGAATAAATAATGTCCATTCTGTAAAATTCATTTTAATCATCACCAGTTTAATAAGCAGTTTAAACTTCCTCTTTCCCCAGTGGTGATAGCAGGGACATCATCTGGGAATGAAACTTTTTACACTTCCGGTCACTATCTTTGTTGATTTTTCTTTCTTGTCCCTTAATGATATCATTGGCAGTTTCTACATATTTCTGGCCACTTTGGTTATCAAAAATTTCGAGTACGCTTTGAGGCTCCAATCTCATAGACAATTTAAACCCTTTCCTCTCTGGACTTGGAGGAGGGAAGGAAGATGATCTGCTCTATCATTCTTCCCTCTCCAACCCCTTGCAGCAGAATGGGGAACATGGTCTTGTTTTGTATACCTCCTCTCGCTTGTCTTTTCACTACTTAACCCCGCCAAGGTTGTGGGATAGAAGGGGAATAGAAGAGCTCTTCCTACATAACTGCTGCTTTGGTGGTGCTGAGGCATTAGTTCTTGTTCAGTGTGCTTCTACTGTCCTCTGCTCTTAAGATGTGTTGTTTTCATGAAAAAGTTCACCTTCAATCAGATCCCCTCTGGCCCTGCCTGTGGTTCTATGCCCACTCTGGGTAAAGTATTACCTTATTTGACCTAGAGTCTTCCAGAGGCAATGCCATGGTTTCTGTTCCCTTATATAAGCCCTATGCTCCTTCACAAGGAGCCAGGAAACTGCTGAGGTCTTCTTGGGCACTCTCAAAGGGCCAAGGGGAACTAGGATGAGTTTGGCCACCATTCCCTTCCCAGGCCCACCACACTAAAGCTCATTCTCGCCCTTCATTTATTTATGCAAGCCTCTCCTTTTCAGCTCTCTCTCAAGATAACATGGAGTAACCAAGCTTTTCTAAGAAATCCCTCACTCATCAGCTCTGGTGGCAACAAAGGGTTGGAGCGGGGTTGTTCTGTGGTTCTGTAGTTCATCAAGTCTCCAGCTGGGGAGTGAGGTGCCAGTCTCTCCTTGTGTAGGCATCCCATTCTCTCTGATGATTTTCTTGGAACCCCACCTCATTCATTTAAATTCTAGAGGTGAGAGAATTACCTCATGGGAAGGGATGGGAAAGGAACTACCTCCCACTGAGAGAATAATGGCTTTCTCTCTCAGTCTCCCCAGTAAGCTCCTTATTACAGCTTGTTTGCTAGGTGATGGCTGTGGGTATTGGGGCCTGTTTAGCTACCTCTCAGTAAGCTCTGAGGGCATCAAGAGGTCCCAGTGTTGGCAGTTCTCTTTGGACTGTGGCACATCAGTGCCTCTTGTTTTCAGATGAAGCCCCAAGGCAACAGTGCAAATCCCACTTAGTATCTTAGTCTATAACCAATAGTTCACTGGCCTTCTACTGCAGATGTCCAAAATATGATCACAAAAGTTGCTTTAAATTTCACTTTGCCTAATTCTGTTGTCACAACTTGAAAACCTTAATAAGCACCGAAGGACACAAAACATGGATAGAAGCCTGGGAAAAGTCAGTACGATGTGCAATAATGCAAAATAAACCAATTAACTTCTCTCCTGCACAAAATGTGCACAACCTGATGAAAAAACAGGGTGCCTTCTTTTGGGGCCTGACCTGGTTTCTAAGAAGCAGAAATGAGCTTGTGGGGGGTGGGGGTGGGAGGGGCAGGAAATAAGGCAAAAGAGGAAGGAAAAAAGGAGAAGGGTGTGGGGAGGGAAAGGGAGAGAGAGCGAGACTGAGAACACAGTAAGACACTCCTTGCTTTCATTCTCGGCTCCATGGACACGGCCCAGAGGGAGCACTGTGGGCCCTTCTAGGGGAGGGCTGGAGGCTGGCAGGCTTCCTGAACTCACAGAGCTATTTAGAGCTCTGGGATTGGTGCCCATGCCCAGGGAGTTAGCATTCCTAGGGAAGGGAGGTGGCATGGAAGAAAGCTCTCAAGTGGATTCAATATTCTCCCCTGGGGCCCTCTCCAAAAGTCCCTCTCCCTCCCTCCCCCACAACACCAAACTCCTGAGTTTACTGAAGACTCAGCCTGACAGCAAAAGAAACCAGCAGTATTCTCATGGGGAGAACCCTGGATTTGTAGGTAAGTGCTACACATCCTGTTTTTTAACAAAAGTTTAGTCACCACCTTAGACTATCAAGCAAGCTGTCTTAAAACTTCTTTCCTGTGTCTTGACCTTAACTTCCCTTTTAATGCTAAGCTTTTTCCTGTATTATTATCACCAAAGCCTTATTGATAACAATCCATTCATATCCTGGGCACATGTTATACTCTTAACTCTGAACTAAGTATTGTGAAGGACTCAAAGAAGAGGAAAGATTTGTCCCTGCCCATTAGTGCTGTAGAGCTCAGAGGAGGAGGAAGTTAGTGTGGGCTTGGTCATCAGGGTACGAAAAGCATGGAGAGGATCAAAGTTCTGAGAAGATGGGTGAGGCAGGAAGAGGAGCTTATGTCTGATCCAAGCGGTTTCACCAGTGCTGCCCGGATTACTTGTTTTGGAGGCCGGTACTATTTTGTGACCAGTAGATCCCACCACTCTTCCCACTTTTTGGAATATTGATGTTCATATGTAGCATGCATTATTAGACTCCACAGTCACAAATCTGAAAGCCTCTTGAGAGCTGGGACTGTGTTTCATTCACCAGTACCCTCAGCTCTGAGCATAGCACCTGGCACGTGGTAGGAATACAGGCTGTATGGACCCATGCATATGTGAATGAATGAACTTAAGAGGTCCTGGAATGGCTCTGCCCCAAGTCCCCAAATCCTCTCCAGACCTCTGAGCAGGCTTTTTGCGAGCTTTTACAGAGTAGCAGAAGGGACTTCCCTTATTGGGTGAATAATGTCTTATATATGTAAAGTGTTTCTATTTTTTGTTTCCACAAAGAGTTGTTCGTACACCTTTCACTTGATCTTTGCAGTAATCTGATTGTGGGCTATGTAGGGAGCCTATCATCTATCACTATTTTATTGGCAAGGAGACTGAGGCTCAGAGGAAGACTTTACCCTCAATCCTTCCGTGTCACTCTGGAAACTCATTCTACTATAGGGCAAAATTTCCCAATAGTGTGACTTCATCTGACCAGGCAGCTGTGGATTCAGAAATACACAGGATTCAAACTCTGGTCTCTGATTAAAAGCCAGGGGTCAGGGTCCCAGTCTTGCTTTATCAGGTTAGTTGTGGTGCCTGGGAGAATCTTGTTTTATTGTCTCTAGACCGTGAAGAGGATGGAGAGGCACACGGTCAGGGGGCCACTGTATACGCACTTTGACTTGGAGAGGAAGAGCGCCAAGCAGGCTGAAGCCAGACTCCGCCAAAGACTACAGAGACTAGAGGCTATCTGCCTGTACCATCTGAAGGTGCTGACGCGGGAGCAGAGACAGCTCCAAAAAGAACTGCTGAGGTTGCAGCAAGGTAAGGCTTCCAGTCCTGGGGAGAGGCAGAGCAGGGCAGCCAGCCATCACTGGGCTGAGGTGAGAATAACACCCTCACCTCATGACAGGGGCCCTTTCAGAGACCCAGAAACCAAAGATACCAAGGAAGCAAGAACTTCTGATTTCAACCTGGATTTTAGGCTGCCCACCCTTCCATGCCCCTCCCTCCCTCAATTACACAGCTCCCTGGAGCAGCCCATTTGCAAACCTTCTTGAGCTAATGCCTCTCAGCTTCCAGTCGCTTCAGTCTTTCAAATTAGCTCTCTCTTGCCTAAATCCTTAGTTTTCTTTCTTATTTCATTTTTCATTCTGCTTTCCTTTCACTATATCTGGGTTGATTTGATTTCACCCCTTTTTTATGCCTGGTCAAAACTATTCATTGAGCGACTGTTACTGTGCAAGTCATTTTAAGCAGAGGAAGTAAAAAAAAAAGTTCCCTGGGATTAGTGAACAGAGGGCAGTATATAATGATAGCTGACCTCCATAGGGCTGAGCAGGGAGCTCTTGGCAATTTTCAACACACCCATCGGAGATTCAGGCCCCACACTCCTTGTATTCCGAAGTGTCTTCACACTAGAATCTGCAGATTTTACTTAGATTAGAAAATATCAAGCAGGCAGTTGTAGTGCATTGGTACTGTGTTTTCTTTGTCTTCTTAAGCCAGAGGGCAAATATTTCTGTCATTTCTCCAAAGAGGCCTTTTTGCCTGTAAGTCATGTGCTTATATTCTTTATAATAATTCCCTCCCATAAAGACCTCCTGTCCCCTAGGAATAACACTTTCCATACATCACCTAGAAGGTTATCCAGTTAACATAGACTACATCATTAAATAGTTATAACAAGAATAACATTACTAAGCTTCAAAAACTAGTTTTGAGTTAGTAGCCACTGATCATCACAGAGGGAAGGGCTACACAATGGTGTCCAGAATCTCAGACCTTCCAAAGCTGTCTATACCATTCAGTAAAAAGAGTTAAAATATAGTGGCTAGGAGCACAGACTCTGGACCCAGATTATCTGGGTTGAAATCCTGACTCTGTCACTTACTAGCTGTGAGGCCTTAGGCAGATTTCTGGACCTGTCTGTGCCTCAGTTTCCTCAGACGTAAAATGGAAATGATATTACCTACCTCATGAAATTATTTGAGGGTTCAGTAAACACTTGAAATAGTACCAAAACACAAAGTGAATGCTATATAAGAGTTTATTCTTCTCCATCAATCAAAGATTGTTACAGAATTGAAATTCTTCTACTGTTTTGTTGAAAATTGCCATAGTTGTACCGTTTGTAGAAACTAGTTCTCCTTTGTTCATCTTTAAAATAATTAGATTTTAATATTACTTCAAAATTCAGCATAGAATAGATACATCTCAGCTCTTCAAAACTACAGTCTCTTCTTACTTAAGGCAGGTTCCAGAACTCAAGAGCTCTGAAAATGATGTAGCGCATTCAAGAGGAGAGCCAGGGGTCATGACTCAATGTGAAATCTTTTAGCTCTACACAGCTAATATATGGACACAGGAGCCAAGAATAATGTCCAAATGTCTGGCCTGGGAATTATTTCTGACCTCCAGCTTTGGGTTTGAAAGATGACTCTGAGCAAGTAACTGAACTTCTCTGCTTTCAATTTCCCTGTCTGTAATAAGTGGCTCAACCAAACTAGAATGAGAGCTCACATCCTGGAAAAGGATCTTAGAAGCCAATTGGTTGATTCCCACTTCAATTCTCAAAAAGAACGTTGAAGACCAGATACCTGCTCTCAGGAGGATGAGCAAAAGGCCAGGCCTTAGGTAGGTGGCCATCCTTGCTCAGTAGAGAGTTTGCTTCAGTGACAGGTGGTGTGGAAAAAGTCTGGACCAGGACACAGAAGACTTTGATTCAGGGGCCTCTGTCTCCATGTCCTTTGGAAAGTCATATCCTATGTGAGCTTCAGACTTCTTCAAAGTAAAATTAGGGGAAAGGGAAGGAAATAATATGTGTGAAGTCTCAGTATTTATCAGGCACTGTACGAGGCGATGTTTTTCCACGATTGCTTTAACAAAATTATTATTGAGCTTCGACTACATACCATTTGGTGGATTGTTTAAAATACATATTCCCAGTCCTCATCTGTAGAGATTTGGATCAGTAGGTTAGGAATTAGGCTCAAAATCCACATTTTTAACTGAGGTGATACTAAGGCAGATTATTCTGGAAGAGGTGTTTTGTGGACCAGACTCTACAAAACACTATTACAGCGACTCAGATAAATGCAGGAATGCAAATGTGAAAAAAATGATCTGTGCCCTCAAGATGCTCGCGTTTAAATTAGAAGGTAGCTGTGCTTGCAAAAAATTGTGATAGAAAATGCTAATTGCTAAATTAATTAGAGTTATTTACAAAGTAGGGCAGGAGCATAGGAAGGTTCCTATGTCTATAAAAGGGCCTCAGGTAAGATTTCCTGAAAGAGGCAGTGTGCAGGCAAGATCTTAGAGGAGGAGGAGAATGGAGGGGGGCAGTTTGTCATGACGACATGTGGAATGAGGCTACTCCTGGCAGAAGGAACAGCATGTACAAAGGTGCATGCCTGAGCATGACTCACTACAAATAACTCAATACTGCAGGAGTGTAAGGGGTGAGGAGAAGGTGCAGGTGCCAGGTTTAGAGGGAAAGCCATGTGGGCATTGTCTCCAATCACGAACAGCTTCATAGGTCTTGCAAAAGAGTTTGGATTTCACCCTATAGTGTTTGGGAGTGGAGACATTACATATTCCAATGTTAGAAGGATTACTCTGGCTGCAATGTTTAAGGTAGACCTGATAGGAGAATTCCAAAGTTCAAGCCACAATTTGAAGGCCTAAACTAGGGCATTGTCCAGGTGAAGAAAAGGAGTATCTTAAGATATTTAGAAAATGGAACTGTATCTTGAGTGGACTAGCATCTTGAGATATTACAGAAAGTGGAGTTGTCAGAGCTTTATGATTAATTACATGTCCAAGGGTAAAGAAAACCAGAGTCATGAGTATATTGCCCGGCACAAAGTAGGCACCCAAACATACTTGTTAAATTGGATAACTGGATGGATACAGGTACCACGCCCTCACAGAGGGAACACTGGAGAAAGACGAAGTTTCAGAGAAAGGATATGCTCATTTCTGAACTTGTTGGCTCTGCGGGTCAAAATGCAGAAGAGTGACCTGGCTGGGAGAAGCAGCTCAAAATCTCTTAGTTTTAGGGAATTGATGAAGTTCTTAAATAGAAAAGACCTAAAGGCAGACACACACACACACATACACTTACATATACACACACACTCAAGGACACAACAGAGGAGGAGAGGCCCACAAAGGACCCTCTCTTATCTTGACTACCTCACAAGGAAGAAATTGGATGAAAGAATATTAGGAGTTTAATGTGAATTCTAGGCCCCTTATCTGGTCATATTCCCTCTGCCTGGTGCCTACTAACTCCAGTGTGGATTGAAGGAACTCACTCCCATTAGTGCAAGACTAGTGCAAGGTTTTCAACCCCAAGTCCCCAACTCATGGGATGACTTGAAAACTAACTGGGTACTCTACAGCAGCAATGACTACAAGATGCTGAAACATTAGCTCAGAGAGTAAAAAATCCACTTAATCACGGCTAGTAGTTGCAATTCATGGCTCAGGTAGGTAGAAGGTCACATAATGGAGGTAAATGAAACAATAGGGCCACCATCTCTAGGTATCGCTCATACCCAGTTATTTTGTTTTGAAAACACCAGGCTTGCCAAAGAAAACATTCAAACAAAACCTCCATGGGCCTAGCCAGTTTAAACTTCTGATCTCAGTGTTTCTAAATCCTCATTAACATGTTCTAGGTAAACATTGGGGAACTGCTTTAAGTTTTTCTGTTTTTACCCATCATGCCAGATCCACCTAATGTGAAATATGATCCAAGGGTATTCATATACTGGTTCTCCGCCCAAAGAACCGGGTTCCAGTTTCCAGTTTCCAGCAGTCTTTTCCTTCTTCTCTTACTCTATTAGTTTTTCAGGGCTGCTATAACAAAGTACCACAGACTGGGTGGCTTAAACGACAGAAGTTTATTGTGTCACAGCTCTAGAGACTGGAAGTCCAAAATCAAGGTTATTGGCAAGGTTGGTTCCTTCTGAGGGCTGTGAGGAAAGGATCTGATCCAGGCCTCTCTCTTGGGCTTGTAGATGACTGTCTTCTCCCTATGTCTCTTCACATCATCTTCCCTCTGTCTGTGCCCCTGCGTCCAAATTTCTCTTTTTTTAGAAAGACATCAATCATATTGGATTAGGGCTCATCCTAATAACTTCATCTTAACTTAATTATCTCTGTAAAGGCCCTATCTCCAAATAAGGTCATCTTCTGAGGTACTAGGGGTTAGGACTTCAACATATGACATTTAGGGAAGACAAAATTTAACCCATAACACTTATTTATTAACTCAAAGCAGATATCATCAAGAAAAAGTTCTCCTCTTATCTTGGGAATGGAATTCAGAAAAGACTAGAAGATGTTCTCGTGTTCTCACCACAGAGAGGGCAGAAGCACAGAGTTCCACAGGCTAATAAAGCTAGGTAAGAAAATGCTTGCTAAACTCATGGATATGGCATTGAATCCCTCTTCCCCATTGGCTTCTTCAAATCATCCTCTCCCTGAGGAAATACTGCCTTCTCCTTCTTAAGCACAGAGACATTTCCTTCACATCATCACCACCCATTCTCACCCTTCACCCCTTCTCACCCACGTTATTACCTCAGCTGATACCACACTGAAGGGTGCCATGGCCTAATAACTTGAAAATTCAAAATATGAGCCTCTTCATTGGTTTTCAGAGATCTTTCTTCTTTTTTACTTCCCTTCCCAGAGCACCGGCAACCAATAGGAACCAAAAAATATACAAAACCAAGTCCCAGATGCCTCCTTTCCTTCACACTGGCCTCAAGGACCCCATGAGAAGCAAAAATCAATCACTGACTCAAAATGACAGAACTTCCCACTTCACAGAAGACAAGTCACAAGCCCAAGAGAAAGATTCTATAAACCCGCCGAAGAGCAAAGACTCCAACGAGGGCATCTCTATTCTGTGTCAAGATCAAGAAGCCTCCACCCACACCCTAGACCAAGGCCCTGGTTCCTGCCCAGCTGGTGATAGTAGAATGGCACATGTTGATGAGACCAGATCAAAAGATGCCAACCAAAAGCCAGACCACAATGCTAGAAAACAGATTCCCCCGAATCCCATGGAACGTGCAGCAGACTTCAAAGGCAAGTCCACAGCATCAACCTACTTAGAGTTGTTTGCAAAGGCCAGAAATGCCCACTACCTCAGGCACAGGGTCCCTCCTGAGTCTGAGAGATTGCTTAGCATTGGAGAGATATTCGGGCACAAGGAATCCTTATGTCCAGAGCAGGAAAGGGGTGTGAGAACAGGGTGACCATCTAAGTTACTTCCTCTCTAACCATCTAATAAACCTCACAATCACTATAGAAATGTGCTCCTCAAGTAACTGTAGTAAGCAATGCAAATATATATAAGTCAATGTTGTTATAAACCCTCAGGTTTTTTTCTTTTACTGGCATATAATCTTTCACTTAATGAGCAATGCTGGTATATAAAAAATGAGGGGAGAGATGAATCTTCTGAAAAGATTTTAAGCAATGCACATGTGTTGCTAATATCATCAAAAATATAAATCTACATTGATGACTAGACTTCCTGAGAGAGAAAATGTTAAGCGTCCACCTTTCCTCGTATGAGATTCTTATGCTGCCACCTGCTGGCAGAATGGCATAGTTCTTCTGTTTGTTTTAGTTTCACACATTAACGGTGAGAATGGGAACTCAATTGAAAATATGTACTATAATATGGTCTATAAATAAAACCTTCTCTCCTGCCATAGCTCTAGGCTCTTTTTTTGAATCCCTTTCCTTACTTCTTTCAATGCCAGTTAATTCCATTTTAGTTTCCTCATTCCCACTTTCAACCTGATCCTATCAAATTTTTGTATCCTACTGAAAGAATAACTAACAATTTACAAGAAATGTGCTCCCTCTAACATTTTCTTCCAAGAAGCAAAGCATCGGGGGAAGGCAGGCCAGGGGCGACAGAATGGATTCATGAATACTTATTTACACTAGTCACCAGTGGGCCAGCAGGAATAGGGACGTGCAGTTGAGAGAACCTCCTCTGTAAACTGCCCAAGCCCTTTATTCTATGTTCTTTCTCCTTGCCTGCTACTTAAACCCTGTCTGTCTCCATCACAATCACCCTCCAAGGGTGAGTTCTCAAAATGACTTAGCCCACTTCTAAATGGGTCTTTTCTCTGTGCTCGCCATAACTGGAGGACTGGGCCACCACCAGGGCAGCAGGGAGCATGGCCTCAGCCTAGGCCTCTGCTCCACTTGGTTAAACCCCCCAGTTCCAAGTACACCTCAGTCGGGTGAACCTGAGAAATAAACATCCTGCATGTTCCTTCTTCTTATCATGCTTGTATCTTATATATACTGGAAGGGCCAGATCTGTATGTATTTCTTTTCTTTTTTTTTTTTTTTTGTGAAGAAGATCATCCCTGAGCTAAGATCCAATGCCAATCCTCCTGTTTTTTTGCTGAGGAAGACTGGCCCTGCGCTAACATCCGTGC